CGTATGGGTCATTGAAAAAGCCCTTTATGGGTTGGTGTCCTCGCCAAGAGACTGGGGCATACACAGAGATGAGGTGTTGCCCACGTTGCGCTGGCATCGGGACATTGGAGGTGTAGTTTTTGAAGGGCGCTTTGTCCACTCCAAAGATGAAAACCTGTGGCGCTTGGTGGAGGTCAATCAGGAGACTGGCGCTGAAAACTGGGCAGGTTTGATGTCAGTTTACGTTGACGACATCTTGGTGGCTGGCGAACCAAAGACGGTGAAGCTGGCTATGGAGGCGATCCAGAGCAAGTGGACGCTATCGGAGGTGGAATGGGCAGCAGATAAACCTCTGCGCTACTGTGGCTTTGAAGTCAGCATGGGGGCAGCTGGAGATGGTTTCTACGTGTCCCAAAGCATGTATGAACAAGAACTTCTGACAAGATGGGGCATTGAAGAATCTCTACAATACCCTGCTTTCAAGGTCACGGAGGAAGAGGAGCACTTCACGGGGGAGATTGACCCAAATGATGTGCGCACTGCCCAAATGCTCACTGGAGCACTTCTATGGCTGTCGACGAGGACAAGGCCAGACTTGGTTTTTGGAGTCTCGGCCATGAGCAGGCTGACAACAAAGAACCCCAAGAAGGCGGTGGAGATTGGGTATGTCCTGCTCAAGTATCTTCATGGAAATCCTGGTGGAATGCACTATCCACAAACGATTCCTGGAGGTGATTGGGGCCGCCGAGACCAACTGAAGGCCAGACGGCATCAAAAGATGTTAGAGGTTTTTTCTGACATCTCATACGCTGCGGGCGCTGACCACAAGAGCATCCAAGGCTTGGTGGTGTACTATGCGGGGGTTCCCATAGCATGGCAGTGTGGAGTTCAACCATTTGTGGCGCACTCAACTGCAGAAGCGGAGCTCATTGCATACTGCGAGTCTTTGGTGGTGGGAAGAGCGACAGAAGCCCTTTTAGCTTCGATCTGGCAACAGTGGGACTTTGAGAAGGTCATCTATGGTGACAATGCTGCAGCCATCAACTTGGCCCACGGTGTCACCACAGCATCATGGCGGACACGTCACCTCAGAATCCGCGCCAGTGTGCTGAAAGAGGCCTTGGATGAGTCAAAGGGCAGAATTGGTGGAGGATGGAAACTTCTGCACCTCAAGGGCACAGAGCTGGTTGCGGACGGTTGCACAAAACCTCTTCAAGGTCAAGCCTTTACGCAGTTTGTGGATGACCTTGGTTTGAGAAGGACGAGAAGGGAGCACCGACCTGCTCGCGAAGAAAGACCGGCTGCTGGTGGTGAACACCATGGGGCTGCCATGCGGGCGATGATGGTGGGCAGCGTACTGCTGTCTACAGCAGAAGCTCATGGTGAGGAGAATGAGGAGGTCTTCGACCGAGTCTGGACAGCTGGCATCTTGCTTGTGGCTTTGGGAGTGATCTACGCAGGCCAGCTTCTTTTCCAAGCATCACGGTGCTGTTTGAAAAGGATGCAACAGTGCTCAATGAGAAAGACGAATCAACAAGGTGGTGAGAGGGAATCAGAAGAGCTGGATGGATGTCTGTCTATGAGTTTGAGGCCGACTTCACGATCGGGCTCTATGAGCAGCGACGATGATGGGTCTGCGAGGCAGTGTATGACCTCACAGTCGGGCTCTATGAGCATTGGCCGCGGCATCTCTCCGAGGTTGAATATGACGTCACATTCGGGCTCTACGAGCATTGATGAGAGCGCACCTATAAGCTTGAATTTGACATCACGGTCGGGCTTAGCACATGGCGATGGCATCTCAATGAGATTGAAGCCGTCTTCACAATCGGGCCCCATGACGTGCTCAGAAGCGCCTACAAGCCGGAGTTTGTCTTCACAGTCGGGCTCCGCGACCAAAGCAGGCGCATCATCGAGAAGAACGTCCGCGAGTTTGGATGTGAACAGTGAGAAGTTTGGAAAGGGTGCTGGAGCATCTGGGACATCAAAAAAGAGCTTGGCAAGCGCTGGGAGCACTGTGTCAATGAATTTGACACGAAGCTCGGGCTCTGAGAGCGCTGGCGATGGCTCTACATCCTTGAAAAGGAGGACACGAGCGGGCCCTGAACTGGAGGCGTCAGCGGGAAATCCTGCTGATGTAGCTGATTTTGTAGCTGCATCTGAGATCAGAGGGGATCTCGTCGGAAGTAGCGTAGGCGAAATTAGCAGAGGTTCTGAGGGGCACGATATCCAAAACCCTTGGAATAAGTTCCAACATAAATATAAGGGTTGGGGATTGACATCGACGGCACTTGCAAAGATGTACAAAGGCCGCATGTCCAATGATCCCCTGTAGAAATGCCTTGAGCCTCCGTGCACATTTTGTGCAAAATTTTCCCGACGATTCACTGACGTGAATGGGGGAGCCTGTTTAGGAAGGCATGGATCACTTCTTACTTGGAGGCATTTTTGGTACAAAAGTAGGGTTGTGCGCCCTGGGTTTTTGAGCATATATATATATATATTGATAGGGGTCTTAGGGGGAGGGGTCAAAGGGTATGGGGGAAACTAGAATTTGCTCAAGGTTTCTCATGGATTTGGGGCATGAGAGGTTTAGGGGCAATGGTGAGACCCAAAGAGTTTCAATGAGACTTATTGAATCTTAATGAATCTTAATGAAGCTTTTTGAGCCTCATTGATTTGAGTTGAATCAGCCGACCTTTCAACTGCAGCATTTGGGGCTCTGAACAAAGCTACCAAAGGTGGCAATTTGTGGTGAGCCTTTCATCCTGACATTTGGCTGCAGGTTTGAGACTCGATGAGTCTCTTCGAGTTTTTTAAAGATCTTAAATTGAAGTAAGAGGTAGGTTGCCTTTAATTATTGCTCACATGTTTTTAATTTTTTGGGGCATTAGCTTTAGATGTTCAAAGTTTGATTTGTTGATGTATTCGGGTCCTGTTCATTTGCTGGGCCTCCAAACCTAAGGAATGCCTGATTCTGATGATGATGAGATACCAGAATCGATTGTGCGTTTCTTGCCTGCAACATATTCTTGTTCAACATGGGTATTTGAAAGTACTTCTTGTTGGTCATGTTTTTTTTCTGGACCAACCCTGAGCAACATGCACCTTCCTAGAATTTAGGCTGTGTGGGAGGCACCACTTATTCAAGTTCTGTTGGTTTGAATTTATTAGTTTCTGCCCCACTGTGATCAGTGCTCAGGTTGCTTTGTCTTTGGGCTTGGAGAAGGACGCAGATCACTACACCTTTTGCCACCACGTGGGCCCGGGCAGCAAACTATGTGGATGTTGACAGGGGTTGCTGCCAGCTTTTACGAAACAGTGAGTGCTAAGAGGGGCAAACAATCTTTGAGAAAGGCTTATGAACGTGCAGCGGAGTGTCACAGAAAGTTGTGGCCGGGAGTAGTAGTTCCAGAGATTGATGATGCAACTGCTACTCAAGATTATTCCAGCGACAGTTGTATGCCTACCTCATTGCTGGTGGCTTACCTTGTCCACATGTTTTCCCTCGCAAAACGAAAAGCTGACATGCGACTCAGGGCCTACGAGTTGTTGAAGGCTTTCATTGACCGATTAGCGGTTCATGGGCCCACCCTTGACTTCTTGATCTCCGATATTCATGGAGTGGGGCATTGGGAAACCCAGACCCTTTCTACTGCCCATGCATGTATTCCGTGGTCAAAGGCATTCTTCCAACATTATTTGCAAATGACATGGCTGAATGATTTGGCAAGCCAGGAGGTACCATGGATCACAAGTTTCCCAGGTCAGGGGCAAATGCATTTGGCTGATTGGATTGCATTCAGTCTTGACTTCCCTGCATGGATGGTGGGGAAAAAAGCAAACAAAGATATTCATTGGGCAAAACAGGTGATCGAAAGATCAGCTTTGTGCGTGTTGACCCAACTGGCTCTCCGGATTGAGGAACTCATCCAAAACATCACCACCAATTTGGAATCCCAACAACGTGGCAAAAAAAGGTCCATGAAAATGTTGAAAGTTCCCAAGCCCATCAAATGGGGATATGTTGCCAGTGCTATGGAAATGGTCTTCGCTCAGCAAGATTCTAGGATGATTTATGGTAATATATTTTTTAACCCCCCAAATATGTTTGTTTTTCCATCATCCCAGTTCCAACCATTCTTGGCAGGTCAAACCCCCTGTTTTCCAGCCGGCTAAGGAACGATTTTTGAAGAAGGCTCTGAACAGAGTTGGTGGCAGCCGTATATCTGTGCCATCTGCCGCGCAGCGCATCACCGCATCTTGCCAGCAATTCCAAAACTTCAGATATAGGAATGGGTTTGAACATGGATGCACTTCTTTTTTATCCAGGCTGTATGAGTCACTAATCTGAACCCCTTGCCCTTGCCATTCACTGTCACTATCCCCATGTATGGACTTGTTCAGCCGAGATCAATTCGATTGCTGTTGCCCGACGCCAACTCTTGGGACAAACACATTTGAAGGCTTGGGGTATGGACATGCATAAAGTGGATGCTGCTGTGGGGGGTGCGGCAATGACATCAATGAACGCTTGACTTGCTGTTACAGACCCACTGACATGATCATGTTCAAACCACCCAATCGCTCCACATATGGATGGAATCAGTTGATTTGTACTGATGTCTTTTGTTCTGCCGGTTCAGGTCATGGTCGATGGGTCTGATGTGGCCGGACGGCCCACTGAGCTATTCTATATTGTGGCTCCGATGCTGGGCAAGGGTGCCTACTCTCCGCCGCTCGTTGGGGGCCACAGCTGACTAGTGGGATGTGGTGTAATGTGGCAGTGAAAAAATATCAATATGTATCAGCAAAACAAGACAGCTGCATTATTCACCCTGCAGTCCTTTGAAAGGGGTTCAGGATACATGAGCATTATGTAATCTTGCAGAGTCGTCGTATCTACGTATACCTATAGCCCCTGGTATCCATTCTGATTTCATTTTCAAATTTCAGATTCCGTAGCATCCACAACATGAATATATCTATATAATACAAACTGGTTGATGTGATATTCTTGACTAGCAGTTGAGCTGTTTCACACCATGGCCATGACTGCTGCGTCAAGTTTCACTCGGGTCACTCTGGAAGAGTCTGACTCTGAACCTGTGCCGACACGGAGCTCAGTGTTGTCGGCTGCCCCTTTTGAAGTTACTTGGCAGAGGGATTAAATCGAAAAGGGTCGGCCTTAGACTTTGTTTCATACAAAAAAAAACTGCTCAGCTTCAAAGGGATAACATCGGATTTGAAAATCACCCAGTCAAAGCACAATAGCTGTCTATTATTGCGTTGCCCTGTTGGTGCGACAAGCTAGGTTCAAGAAGATGACACACGATTGACATTGGCATCACGTTCTCTGCAAATGGCATGGGAGGTAGTTCGCCGAGTTGTGCCCAGAAAGACACTTCAGGCACAGGTTACATCTGGTGTAAAGCCAAAGAGGATAATAGTAGCTTGCAAAAGGTTCTGGATTCAACAAGTTGACAAGGTTGATATGTATATATATATAATAAATATATATATATATATTATATATATCAGAATATATTACATCATGATCACACACACATATGTATATATATATATGTATATTATCAAACAAGATAATTTCTTTAGGACTTCAGATTTTACATGCATCCCACCCGGAGCCCTGATTCCATTGGCAGGCCTCTTTGCTGACCCAAGCGAGGAAAATGTCCTCATCCTGCACTGGCGTGTTCACTGCAGAGGTTTGCGCCGCAATGATTGAGAAGGTTGTCAATGCTTCTGCGTGTGGACTTTATGTTAGCATCAAAAGTGAACGGTGCCATGAAACCTGGTACATCAAAACATGTACTTTTTTTTGTGGGTAAAATATTTATTGACCAAAACTCACCACCTGTCCCGAAGGCTATAAAACCTTATAGAACTGCTGTTGAAATTTTGCAATCATCGGCTCAGGAAATCGACGCTCGAGCACAGCAGGTCATTCATGATCACTACAAGTGGGTTTCTGAATGGGCTGACACTCCTAGAGCAGCCCCTCACGTGTTCTCCGACCTTCTCGACATGGTTCCCAAGGAGAGCTTTCAGCAAGGTCCTGCTGATTTTGAACAGCGGAGGGAGTCCATTGATCGGGCGATGATATCTTCATCCCAATTTTGTGTAACCCATGGAGGGTGGTGCACACTTTTGAAACCAGTAGACTTCGACCTATCTGGTCTCCCTTGTGAAGAAAATTCCAAGGCAAATTACAAGAGGAAGTTTCTGCATGGTCGGTTTGGAGATGTTTACTTGGTATGGTGCAAGTACCATAGATCCATGCGAACTCCCTTGCTGGGTCTAGAGAATACCCCCGACCCTCAGTCAGCTGAAGTTTATGGCACTATTTCTTCTGGTCTCATGTTGGGTTCTTAATATCATTGGTCTTTGTGTGTTTGACTACCCTTAAATGTCAACTAATGATTCCTGTTGTGCCTTTGCCAGCCCGCTAAGGATGTGGAGACTGAAAAGGTGTTGGAGTTTCTTGGCTCTGAATACCAGCTGGCACAGCTTTTCGTTGAGCCATCTGATGCTGGTCATGCTGGTGTTGCACGGCCCCGCACCTATGCTTTCTACTACAACACTACCAAGCTCGAATACAAGCATGATATTTTTCAGCTGTATCATGCAGTCACACATGAAATTGGGAAAGTTTGTGCAACTAGACCTGAAGACTATTTGATATCTACAGAAAACGCGCGTGACCTGGACATGATGGCATTCGCTCAGAAGCGCCATGTTGAATTCCAAAAAGTCCCTTGCATTGACAACTTAAATCTGCATTGGTTTATTTCCATGATAATTTTGGACAAATTTTCACCACTGTCTTTTATAAGGGTCTTTTCCTCAAGGTGATTTAGCAGGGTGCTAGGGTGCTTTATATTGTTTAGCCATCTGTCACCCAGGGCAAGACAACGACCATGGACTTGCTCAACGACAGGGAGCGGTTCTTGATTTACCAGTTGGATTCCACGTACAAGGACAGGTACCAGCAGGACCCATGTGCCAACCCATCCTTGGTGTATTTTGTGGGTGACCGATTTGAATTCTCTTGCACATGGTCTGCAGCCTCAGGTCGCATACCAACATTTAGAAAAAACCCAGCAAAATTTATTCACAGACAAAGTCTGAAAATCTACACAGGGCAAGAAAAGCTTGCCATTATGGGCTGGCCAGTGAATGGCACCCTAGCGCAGGGCATGCTTACAACCACAGTCCCAAGTTTGGACCCTGCTAGAAGTGATTTTTTAGCTGGGAATTCTATGCATGTTGCCAACTGTGCAATTGTCATGATGGTGGCTTTGTCGTGCTTCGGCTACCGAGACATCAAGTGATTGAACGAAAAATGCTTTTGGTTTTTGGTGATGGACCCCGACCCCAATCTTAAAATCATTGAGCATCACAATCAACTCAATATTGGAGGAGAAAATTGATGACTCACAGTTTGGATTGGCTTCCTACAGGCTTACTACTGACATGTGGACAGCACATATGACATGTTTGTATACCCGGTAGTGTCTACAGCTTTCGGTCCCCTGAGTTGTCGCTGTGAGTGAGTGTTGTTCGCTATGGCTGGTCGTGGTGGTCCCCCTACTCCTTGGCGTGGAAAGGCCGCTTTCCCAGTTCCACCCAAACCTCCAGGGATTGGGAACCCTCCCCGACCGCCACCTTTGTCCAAAGCGCTGGTTCCCCCCAAAGCAATGGTCCCCAGTGGATATGCACCCATCCACCCTCGACCTGTGGCTCCTTCGTGGTCCCGTCCAGTGCTTGGTGCCCCACCTACACCCCCTGTCCCAGCTTCTTCGCTGGCATTGGTTCCTTATGCTGGTCCGCCTTCAAGTTCTGCTGCGCCAGCTGCTGCTCACCCTATGTCACTTGGTTTCCTATTTAGTCTCATCTTCTTTTGCTTTCTTAATACAGGCACAGTAAAAGTTAGTGCTTTTAAGCTTTAAACTATATACAACTTTCCATTGCTGCAATCACATGTTTGCCTCCTATGCCAGTTACTGTGTAGTATGCATGTTTTCTCAGGATTGGGTTAAGATTCTTTAGGGAAACAATACACCTTTTTTGCAATTTTTGTAGCTGGTCCACATTACTCATATACTCCACATTGAGGTCAGGGATTTCTTGGCCTGGTGGTACTGCTCATGCAGATGCAGCTGACCCTGGAGTCGTGCCGAAGGTGAAAGCAGTGGCGAAAGCTCGTGTTGCCTCTTCGGGTGGTGGGAAGAAAAAGGACATGGAGAAGTATTCCACAAGCTATTCATCTATTGCCTTGGTACCGGCTACCTGATTCGGAGTTCAATTCTTACATTTTTGTTTTTGTTCTAAACAGTGTGAGGTCGGTCAATCACACATGTACAATTTAAACATGATTAAGCTTGAAAAAATTACCCCTCAAAGGGGTAATTGTTTGCCTTCTTTGCCACAGAATATGTTTTTGTTTTTTTGGGCATCTAAAATCTAGTGGAGAGTTTGAGCTGCCTGCTTTTTAGCTGCTTTTACCAATTGAATCTGCTAAGAACTGCCACATCTGCGATTGGCTCCATCATCTTTGTCCCGAACGGTTTACCAGGTTGTTCTTGGGCAAGTTGCATCGAGATGCGCTTCTCAGCTACCTTTTCCTGGCCACAGGGCTCGTTCCTGCAGATCGTTTGCCAGCGATGCTAGGCTTAAGTTTCTTCAAAGAGTGTATTTAGTGGCATGTTTCAAGGCTACACACTTCAATTTGTGGGGAGGGTTGGTTGGGGTGCCATACTACTGTGGGGAAAAGGGCTTTTGTAGTGACTTGCTTGACCTTGTCTTGAACACAATTTGTATCCTAAGGTGGGTGAAGCAAGATGTTATGGACATTTTGATGGCCGAGTATGAAAGGCTTGGACGACCCTTGGATGATGCTGACCTCAACCCAGATCACATCGTTGATTTTGTTGGTCAGCATTTCGAAGGTGCTGGAGGGGCCCCATCATTTGCAGAACCACCTCGGCCACCCAGTGTTGCAGCAGTGGCAGAGACACCTGCGCCATCTTCTTCTGACTTGTTCTACGTCGTCAACGCTGTTTCTGGGGAGTGGGAGATGCATGCGATCGCTCTGGATGGGCAGATTGTGCAAACAGTTACCCTTCCAGATCCAGGGGTGGGAGGTTACTACACTATGCTCTTCACTGACACTGGCTTCAACTTGATGGCTTCAAATCAGCAGGTGCCCATCCCTTGCTGTGATCTTTTGGTTGGTGGTGTTGAGACGGAGTCATCCATAGCATTACCTCCTGGTGTGGCTGCTGATTCAGCTATGTTGCCTGGTATGGCGAAAGCCTCTCCAGCAGGAGGGGCTGAGTTCAACAAACTTTGAATCATCTTAAGTCTTAGTCTTGGTCTTGAAGCAAGTTTACTGGTTGGGTGAGATGTTATTGCCTACTGAAAATCATCTATGACACCAACATGAAAACAACTTGAACATCGGATAGCTACATCGCTGGATGTGTCTGTGCAGGACTGCCTCTTCCTGCGAGTATTGCTGAATCAGGTGCTGATGAGGACTGGGGTGATAAAGCATTGGGTGTTTGATCTCAACAATCTTAGTTGCAACCCATTCGAAACAGTGGGGATGTTATTAGGGAAACAGTGGCCGGTCTCACCAGCAGGATTTCTCGCCTGACTTTGTGGATGAGACCCCTAGCATTGTGGCCAATGGTGATGGGACGCAGACCTTGCAGTATGGGGGCATGGCGCTTGATCTACCCACGGGTTCGACTTGGACCATCGAATTGAATGCTGGTGAGTACTACGTGTGTGCTGTGGGCAGGACCCCAAAGTCGGTGAAGGGACTGATGAAGTTGAAGCGTGTGCGCAAGTTTCTTGGCAAATTTTAGATTCTGTGTGGTACTGTGCTAGTGTGGTCATACATGCAAACCCCAAATTTTGGCATTTTGGGGCACTAAACCCCACAAATCGACAAAAACCTACCAAAACCATTGATTTAGCTGCAGTTTGAGAGATTTTGAGAGCTTTTGAGAGGCTCTCAAAACCTCTCAAAATCTCTCAAAGAGCCTCAAAGAGCCTCACAGAGCCTCAAAAAGAATCAAAATACCACATCTGGAACTCAAAACTTATCATTTTCCACAAAGCCTCATCCATTTCCCACATGTTTGCCTAGATTCCCACATTTGCCATGAAATGTCATCGGTTTTTTCCCATTTCTCAATTTACACCCAAAAAATCTTTCCAACTTGGGTGTCAAATATAACCATGGACCCTTGGCCCAGCTTTCCCAGTGGCACTCCTCATGCCACACTTTCTTCTTTGGCTTGATGGTTGGCACCAAACATCCTGTAGCTAGCGTTGCTGAAAAAGGTAGAGCCGAAACAGGGGTTGATTTCCATGATATGGATGAGGGCGCTGTTAGTATAGAGTATTTTAATGACAATTTGGTTTGGATTGTTGAGCCAAACGAGTGGTGGGAGTTTACCTTTTCCTTGTTTAGCAAATTCTGTGTTGTAAAGTCAAACAGTTTTTCCTCACCAGGGTCAATCTTGGCTTAGTTGAATTTAGTTCTATGTAAGGGTTCGCCCCCAATACCCAAATCCTGATCATTGCTAAGAAACAATCTGTTGTCAGAATTCTGGCCCTAGCTCCCAAAAGGTTCTTTTACTCCTGGATTCATGACTTAGAAAAAAAGTGATGAGGATTGAAGTCAAGGATGGCCTCTTTAGGTCATGATTGCCGTGATTGCCCCAAAAACACAATAAGGTCGGTATGGGTGAAATTGTTTTATATCACTTATATTGTTTTGCAGATGGTTCACCAAAAGAATCAATGCCATCAATCATAGACTATGAGTCTGACCAGGTCTTATCACGACTACCCCACTATATCCTTGACATGGTTTTCCACCACCACCACCACCACCAGCAGCAGGACCAGGTTTGTAGTTGCACCTCCAAAGCTGATGAATGGTGTTGATGGCAAGGTCCACCCAGAGTTACTTCAAGGGTTGGAGGTAAACCAGCTTATATTGCAGAGCAATAGTAAGGTTGGGATGTGTTGGGGTATTTTAGTTGGTAGTTATATATAGGTTGAACTGTGGCAGTGCGAAATTTGAAAACTAGCTAAAACTTTTTGAGTGAATTCACACTGAATTTTGTGGTTTGAGAATCAATGGTCCAGGCCCCTTTACCTAACAAAGGGAAGCTGAAATTGGCAAATACTTGCATTCATTCATTTCCCATGGCTATGTGTAACAGCGTGGCGGCTTGTTAAGTTAATCATGGACTGCACTGACTGACTGGGTGACACAACATATGACATAGAAATTTAACATTACAATATTTATTTCATGGTCAAATAGGGAGGCAGGCACAGTCAACCCCAACCACATTCAGAGAGACACGATCAGAACAGTGTTGGGTTTTGCCACTCTCTATTTCTAAATATCTTTGGTCACTGGGAACAACGCCCTTTATCTTTGGGTTGGATGCTTTGGGCATTTGTACATGTGTATATCTATATCAATCAAACCTTGTTTTGTTTCTTTCTTAATTATGTTTCTTCCAATCTCCCCCACATCAATGAATCCATCCAAGGTTGGAAAATGAGACTGAGAACCCTGATGATGAGCAGGCTGTGCCAAAGTCCCCAGTGAAGGCTGTGGAGACTCCGGTGGCAGCTGAGCCTGTCCCTGAGCCTGCCGTTCCTCCTACCCCACCAAAGACTCCACCGGCAATGCCACCTCCATCGAAACCACCAGCGGCTCCGAAGCTTGCATCAGCACCTGTGGAAGTGCCGAAGGCTGAGGGAAAGGCGAAGGCTGACACTAAGTCCAAAGCCAAGGCTTTGCCAAAGTGATTGGACATGATATGATTGAGTCATTCAGAATATGGGCTACTATTGTTTTTCCCTGCTTTTGCTGACTAACGAATCATTACATGGTTTTCCATTGGAACTCGCAGTGCAATGCAACCTTCTGTGTTCGAATAACGTATATACTGGAACAGCAAAAAGGAAGCAGGGACGATGTTGGCCCTCTGGCGTAATCCCCCATGGATTTGAGTGAAGCTCAGCTGCCTCATCATTTCTCAGATCCTTTAAGCCTTTAGAGCAATAATTTCAATTTTGTAGTCTCATGCAGCCGTCAGTATTCCATTCTAACATCATTGATTCATTGATTCAGGATCCTGGGGGGTTGACTTTCAAGGGACGGTTTGCTGTACTACAGTGAACGGGCCCACCGTGCGAATGCCAGGCTTGCCAGGCATGACAAAAATGAATGATGTCTGTGCTTGGGGGGCTGGGTGAAAACAAAAAAAGTAGCTAGTCAAGCCAGTGTTTACACTTTCACTATAGATGACAAAGGGTTGTCATGTGATTTGAAGCCCAACCCAATTACATCAAAGTTCAATCTGGCACCAGATTCCCTTGCCAGCTGCGTCAAAGGCCTTGGACCCTTTCACGCTGGCTCATGACAGTGAGGATGCTCGAATTTTCAGGCCTGCAGTGGAGTGGGCAGTAGGGGGTGTATTTTTCCAGTTCTGCATGTTTATGTTGCAAAGCTTCATGGTGTGTGCTCAAACAATAACGTTGATGATATGTACAACTACCACCGGAGCTTCTTTTGAAGAATTCTATGCAAGGTAGTTTGAAATCAGTCAATGTAATATGTAACAGGTCGTAACAGTGTTGAATAAACAAGAGCTACAGCCTGGAAGAACTGAGATGGGATGCAGTTACCTTGAAATTTCTTTGCGAGGTCGTTCAACACGAAAGTGAGCAATGCCGTTTTTGTTCCCTGGCTTGAAAAGTGGTGATGTTCCCTTGTACTAGCCAGTCGACAGTTGTTTATTATTGACCAACTTTTACTTCGAACCAGCAACTATGTCAGCCCAATCTTGGTGGTGTATATATCCAGGAGACAGCAAGCCAACACAACATATGGCAACACTTCCTGATTATCCCACTTGAACTTAGGCACTCATGCTCGGCATCAACCATTCCCTCAACTTGATGACGGGAAACCTCCTCGAGACCTTCATGATCAAAGATCCTTTGCCGGCGCTGGGTTCGGAGGGTTTGCAGGCTCAATTATCACCACTGGCAGACCGACCACTGCTCACGATCGTAACTTAGCAAAGAAAAAGCAGTTACTATGATGTTGCATTGCATGTCCTTTCATCCAAACCAATCCCAGTAGCTACAAACCTCTATGGATTTAGGATGGTTGGGAAGGCAATGAGGTATTATTATGATTCTGTATCTTCTGTCAAACTCACTTAGTTTCACATCTTTGTCGTTCAAACAGGTCTATCTCTAACTGAATTAAGGCAGCTGATGAGGAAGCAGTTGGTTTTCGTTGCTTCAACATCCTGCTGTCATTGGGCATGCGTGGGCTAACAATCCCAGACTGCTCCCACCAACAGTGGGGCGACTATGGTCGTGCAATCACTGCTGCTGGTCTGAAAGGGGCGACCTTAAAACTGACACTCATTTGTTCATGTGGGGTTGGGCCTTACACTAGTGGCCGGAATCATTTCACCAATGGTGCTGCAGCGAACCTCCTACTTGAAGGCAAAACTGCGGAGTGGTTTGACCAATTCAACCCGGACTACTGCTTTGATCAGCGTGTTGGTGAGGGTGAGCTGCAGCTAACTGCGGAGGATTGGATGCAATCACCTGGAATCACCGGTAGACTCAAGCAGGTACTGGGCTGGAATGCTTGAAGCCCTGAACTTTTATTTTTAGTTGAAGTTGAGCCCGTTGAGCCCCAATCCCAACCTTGATAAAAATAGATTAAACATTAGAAATACATACACCATCATGCAACTAATATATTTTTCCATCGAACCCTTTATAAATTATACATAGGTTGATCGGTTAGATAGGTAGGAAGGTAGATAGGTAGATGCTTAGATAGGCAGGTCTATGGGTCACACCAGTTGACTATTTCTAATTCAAGTGGGGCTTCCAAGTCACCCAGACGCTTTTGGGTAGTCCACACCCTGACAGGCCAAAAACAAAAGCTGGTTTGGCGTGATGGAGGCATACCGGATGCTAGACTCCTGTTGGACAGTCCTCGGTGAGACTTCTCGGTTCGCTCAAGTTGAACTTGAAAACCTGGACTCTGATGATTGGGGTGAAGAACATGAGACTTAGCTTTTCATTTAGAAGACTAATGACTTTTTCTTGGTCTACAAAGTTTCTGTGTTGTTAATGTTGAATGGTATGTTTCTACTTGTACACATTAGTGTTCGCCAGCGAAAGTTGGTTGGCAAAAAGAACCAGCCCAGTAGTCTCAGGACGATGAACAACCAGACCAACCAGACTTGGACTCGATGGACCCACAAACCCAGAAGCAACTCCAGCTGCTGAGGGAGAGCTACAGCAATACTGCTGCTTTTGTGGCAGACCTCTTGGCTGACAGATTCTTGCAGAAACAAGGAAGGCTGATCTGCCATTTCCTGAAGCCTTTGCACAAAGAATATTCTGCTGATCTGCAGTGCCACAGCGAAGGTCAGACCAGCGTGCTGTACTGGCATGGTGACCGTTGTTGTGGCCAGTGGTTCAAAGGCGCAGTGGTCCAAACACTTCAGCTCTTGACTGATTCAAGCCTCATTGATTTACTTGGACTTCGGCCTCAGCCTTTCTTGGCGTCACAGGTTTTGGCTGCCTCCAACCCACTGATCAGTCAAGATGTGAGATTGGTCAAACAAGCCTTTGCCTTTGCCTTGGAGCTGGTGGCCAACAGATGCTGGTCTCAGAGCTTCTGGACGATGCTGTTTCCATACTGTGTGGCTGGCCTGTATGCGACTGAAATGGCCGACCGCCGCCGATGTCAACTGCTCTGCTCCAGGATGTCAGATGCCCTTATCAAGTTAGAAGATTTGAGAAAGAAAGCCCCCATGAATTCAGACTTGAGGGCGCTTCGTGACAGTCTTGGAACAGCAGACTGGCCCTTGGTGAGAGAGATTCTAGTCTTGGGGCATCAAACTCAGTGGGATCCCAGCAATGAAGACATGCGCCATTTGGTGTTTACGCTTTTCGCTGGACCGGGATCTACAAAGGATGCTCTGGAATCATGCTTCAACTGGCTTAAGGATTCAGTCAAAGCCTCAAAGAGCAAACGCATGAGCGACTTCACAAAGTATTTCTACGCATTGTGCAACCCATATGTTCGTCATGCAGGTGTGAGCCAGATCAGGCCAAGCCAGGAGGACTTTAGATCTCTCTTGGATGAGATGTTCAAAGACGAGGAGGTGACGAAACATCACCTTTTTGCTTACCAGAAGACCAAGCTCGGCCCAAACTTCCCCCGACCCAACGAGCTGATTTCCAATGCCAAGGTTCGAAAAGCTGGCTTTCACTCCAACCGGATTGCTGCTGCTGCATCAGCCTTCATTCTCCATGATGCTCCAAATGGCTTCACTCATGCCGGGGACTGTTGGCCAGGCATGTGATGGCGAAAAAGTTCACTACATATAACTTCTATTTAATATAGCGTTGCCATCGCAAGGGCCAATCTGAGATGTAGTAGTATGACATATAACACTGATCAACAAACCTAATGCTACAATGGTTCATGGGTTCCGTTCTGTACTTATCAACATCGCAGGTTGTTTGTTCAAGCGTGGTGAGATCTACCTCAACCTCAACAGCAATGAGCATCACCTTTCTTGTGGCTTCATGGGCTATGGCTGCCTGGCAATCCCAGTCCGGAGGAATGAGGAGCTCTGGGTTTGATAGGGAACAGGGATGTCCATTGATTTGGATGCTTTTCCCAACTGCTCATAATACAGTCTATTTTGTTGGGGACTGATGCAAGCACTGAAATTCAATGAAATTCATGATTCTTGATGTGGGACATTGTGCCAAAAGATTGGGTACCCTCGTCTCTGCTGCCACCCTGCAGGATGGCTTCATCATGTTTGAGCCGGAAAAACTTTCGCTCCCGAAGTGGGTCTTCAACTACGTCATTGGGGAGAGTTGCCCATACCAATGGATCCCCACAAAAGTTGTGCCTCCGGCATGCATCCCCCATACTGCTGGGAACCTTCCTTTCGCTCTACGTGTCACTGGTGAACCACAATCGGTGGCTCTTTCCTCTTTGCGAAGTGGAATTTTTCTCACGGTCAAACAGATCCAATGCGTGATGAATGCCTTCCATGTTGAAGAGCCAACCAGTGGGTCAGGAAAGAACAATCGGGTGGTCAAGGTTGATTTGGCAACCGCCTTGATCAACGGCCTGTTTGCAGAGGCAAGTGAGGAGGAGAAAGCTTTCATGGTCACTTCGCTCTTGGTTAGAAAACAAGTTCGCCCCGAAGAGGCCCCTGAACTTCTCGTGAAATTGACTTCTATGCTTGACACAAGTGAGGCACAGCATTTCTCTAGAATGCGGAAGGCTGCAGTTGATGAGTTGGCTGTGTCAGCCATGAAAGACAAAATCGCTGAAAAAAAGGCTTCAAAGGAAAAAAAAGCTGAAGATGATGATGGTCCAGCGCCGTCAGGTAAGAAAAGGCCCTTGGTCAAACCAGATGGCGACCCAGAACTCCCCAAAGCGAAAGCACCACGAAAAGCCGAGCACGAAGAAAAACTACGCCGCAGCAATGTGAAGGCTCCCCGTGAGTTTCTTCAGTTCTTCCCTTTGGTCGATCACTGCTACTTCAAGTGGCTTACAAAGAACTTTCGCGTGACTGTGGAGTTTCAGGACAAAGACCGTTTCTTGACAGGACACTTATTTTTTGCATTAGGCCCTTTAGGGGCTCCGAAGTGTTTATCTTCAAAATTTGGGTATGTGTTTATATAATGTGTACGTACACACAAACACACACGCAAAAACACATGCTTATCTACAAATGTATAAATGCACTTACGTCCATGTGTGCACACTCACATAATGTGCGGTTATCATATATATATATATATATATGTGTATATATATATATATATGCACATGTACCCCATTGCTGCAAGCAAGGCTTGGGATTGGCACAAAGAACAAAGAGCCAGCGATGGTACCCAAATGATGGTGACAAAGCAGCAGAAACATCCAGCAAACTTGACGCGCTGGAGGTAGTTTTTCAGTTTCTTGAATTCACATACCACAGATTTTGGCAGAAAGAGACAGACTATAATAGTTCCTACAAAGCGCCTTCTAGGTCAAACCTGGAGGAAGCACTGAGGAACATGGAAAGCGCAGCAGCGTAGCTCCTAGTACAAAGCACCTTTTAGGTCAAGCCTGGAGGATGTGTTGGCAAAGATGGTGAGCAAAGGCAGCGTGAAAAAAGAGGCCGTTTCTTCCTCCACTTGTTTTGCTGAGTTCTGGGTGCCACTTGAAAATCTCAAGTTCTTTGTTGGCAATGAATGCATATAAATATATATTTCTATATAATGACACACTGTACCTAAAATTATATATATATATGTATGGCCGAAGCAAACTCTTCATAATCAGCCAAGCATGATCACACATTCTTCCAGGAGGCCAGCTGAGCCTCATTTGAGGAAACTTTGGTTTCCCCCATACCGTTTGCCCCCTCCCCCTTGGTACCCTATCATATATATATATATATATGTAATTATATATATATGGATACACTGATATACATTGATATACTACCTAGCTGCATGCAGGCGATGCTCCATCTAAGGTGATCAAGTGAACCATGAATTCTTGATCGGTTGATGCTTCTTGATCTAGCACAGCCTAAGCGTTCCTAACCACGGCTGGTGTCAACCTGGCTGTTCCAGTTGCTAGATACCCTCTAGTCGTCAAAACTGCTACCAGTGCGTGATTCCAAGCACAGGATCTATGGAGCTAAATGTTGATCTCATGAAAAGACATATCTGTACAGGATGGGGCCCCAGTTCGTTAGCTAAGTTGGTATGTAACTATAATAACAAGTTGGTGTATGATACTTATAAATATGTTTAGATGTAGACCTATGTGTCAGTATACCGGTATTATACAAGTGATATGGGGCTTTCCAATACCAACTTACATATACTTACATATCTTACATGAAAAATTAAAAGAATGTAATTCAGAATGTATTCTTTGATATTCTTTGATGGATTTTGCTCGGAATCCGAACCAACTCCCAAGACTGAGCCGCCCCACGTACAATCGGAGCTGGTCGGCTCGCTCCACGATCTCCTTGCGCTTCTTGGCACCGACGTTGTGGGCGACTTCCACGGCGTACTTCTCGTTGTGCATGAGAAGCATCTCCAGGTCTGCTGGGCAACGCACAACAAACTTGTAGAAGCCGTTCTTCAGGCGGAACCTGGTCTTCTTGTCGGAGCCATAACCGATCTTGGGGCAAAGGGTGGAACCCTTGAATCGTCTGCGCACACGACCATCGATGCCTCTGGGCTTGCGCCATGCTGGGTTCATGCGCTTGAAGCGATCAGCTTGGAACCGGGTGAACTTCTTGGTTCGCTTCTTCACAATCTTTCTCTTGTCTGCGGGCGTCGGCATGGCTACCTCAGTATCTGCACACTGCAAACAGCCACTGTGCGGCATCTTTCAGGTTCCCTCTAGCCTGGGATCCCCATGAAGAAAGACCTTACCCGAGGCAAATCACTGTGGATTCGAGTGGGTGATTTCAGACATCAAAAATGGGCAAGTATCTCTGTTTGTCTCTGTCTGCCTGTCTCTGCCTGTCTCTGCCTGTCTCTGTCTGTCTATGTCTGCATGTATATGTATATGTATATGTATATGTATATGTATATGTATATATGTATATGTATATGTATACGTATATATGTGTATATCATATATATATATTTATATATATTTAATATATATATATATAATATATATATAATATATATTGCAATATGTGTAATAATAATATGGATGAATACAGTTTGTAGTCCATATACATGTGCAGCATATGTATATATATAGTATTGTATTGCATTGCATTGTATTGTATTGTTGATACTACAGACCCTGAGCTTCACACGGCTGGTTGCAGAAGCTGCTTGGACCAGTCGGCAGGGGATTCTTCCTATGAGCCGTTGCGTGACGCGGTTGCGTAGGCTCTGAATCGTTTCGGCGGTTTCCCAAGCGTGACATGATGTGACATCGCTATAAGTTTGATGTAGTGTATCTTCACAAAATATTCGTTGGCCAGATTCTATGTGCGTGATTCTTATCCGTTCTGATGCCTGTTTTGGAAGAAACCCCGGTTGTTCATGGTACATCGATTCCCCCAGCGCCTAATAAATGTGGGGTCTATAATTGTTCTATATTCTCAGCACCACAATTTCCCGATTCGCCATTTTGCAGCTTCTCCATCTTGTCAGTCACCATGGCTACCAAGCACTTCTGAATGTTTGGTAATCCGGTCGTGTCCCATCCATGACCGCCCTTCTTTCTTTTTTACTGCAGAGTCAGGTGCAGGAGCCTTTAGTTTCTCCACAATTCAAGCGCGCTACAGATTCGAATCTGCGAGCAGCTGAACTCTCAGCCGCGATGGTTTCACGTCACATGACCGGCACCGGTGCGGTGTCACGCTGGTCACGTTGTGTTTTTTTCTGCGAAATGCTATGTGAGTGAATGATTGGAGGATGGGATCACCCCAAGCAATCACATCTTGAGGTCTCTGGTGTATCATCCCCCCACCTCCAAGTAGGGTTACGTACCTTACAGGCATGGCTTTTCATATGGAATTCAGCAAAAACCATGGAATATGTCCGATATATTGGTAAGCTATGGTAAGCTGATGTTTCTATGACATACATTTGGAGGTTTCCTAAAATGGTTTCCCCAGTTGTCATCCATGCATTTTATTTTCGGACTTTCCGACTTTCTATGAAATAAACCATCTATTGGGGTACCCGCATTTTCTTATTTGTGCTTAGTAGGGAATGAGGGAATGATCCACAATAACTATCAATAATAATCCCATTCCCTACTAAGCACCAGTAAGTTTTAGGAAACCTCTCCTGTCCTTTTTTCGCTTCCCATGGCTTCCAGGCGGCTTCCTATGCTTCGCCCACGACCTATGTCACAACCGACGTTGGCTCGCCACGTCCGCCAAGGCCAGGGCTAGAACTCATCGTCTCCAAGCCTGGGTTCTTTGAAAAATGGGCATTGGTCATTGGTCCAAATATATTGATATGAAAAATGAACATATATATTTGGACCAATGACCAATATTGATATATTGGTCCAATATATTGATATATTGATTGATCAACTATTGGACCAATTAATATCACTATCAGCATGAAAAAAACATAAAAAAAAAAACTATTTCCAAGCCTATCTTATAATATGTGAACACAATATAAAAAATAGATCAACAAATTGATAGGTGAAACAAGTGATGCTCTTCCGATGAGTCAAACTCTAAAAATGTTGCGGCCATCCTGATCAACAATGATCACCATTGAGAGCGACTGATTTCACTAGCTGTCAGCACTGTTCAGTAAAGAACATCCCGTGTTTGGGGTAGCCAATGTAAGTCATCCAAATGGAACAAACGGAACCGGAAATGACCGCAACATACCGCAACTATCCAGGAATCAAACATGGCAATGGCAACGCCCTGTTATGTTCGAAAATCACGGGAAATCATCCATAAATGGCTACAACGGGCAATTGAATGTCCATTGCCGGGCTTGATTACCAGAGTGTAAGTTTGTCAGCAAACATGGCTTTGAACTAGCAAACAAAGGGAGGAACAGAATGTTATGATCATGAAGCAGCAAGGGTGGGGATATACACATGAAAAGAACTGCAAGCAAATGGCTGGTACATGGATACTACATCAAAAACAAAGCCACCAACCATCCCGAACGGATTGGTCTCTGCTGAAGATTGGCATGGGAAAACTGGCTGGAAGTTTCCACTTCCAGGCAAATTCTTTGTCGCGTGAGCAAGTGTGTTCTTAAAATTCCCGGCTTGTTGATTTTATGATCATGTCCATTCATGTCCCATATCCCATAGGATCCATGGTGCTGCTATATATGGTAACATATGGATCTCATCAATATACCCCAGTCATGTTAGTATATATACCAGCACCATGGATCCTATGTCCCATATGAACTATATATCCCATCTTGAACCCCATACTCACGAGTTGTCGGCTGGTTGAAGCCAGCCTTTTTTACACCCCACTGTTGTGGTAAAATCCTGTTTGATGTTAGCCATTTCTGGTGGAATAATCATATCATAATATGCCATAGAAACATCCACTGTTAGGCATAATAACTCAGATTACCCCACTGTTAGGCATAATAATGCCATTTCTGGTGGAATCCAGCTGAAATCGAGAACTGGAATCTCCAGAATTTGGCAAAAAAGTCGCTCTTCATCCTCGTCGTCGTCGAAGTCTTCCTGCGAGTCTCTAGTTGGAAGAATTCTCATGTACCGAAAAAAAAAAAAACTCGATCTATGGTGATATCCTCAGTAATTTTAAGGTGATCACCATTGATATCTGGTTGGTGGTATACCTACCCCTCTGAAAAATGATGGAGTGAGTAACAGTTGGGATGATTTTTCCATTCCCAACTGAATGGGAAGTCATAAAATTCCATGGTTCTAAACCAGCAACCAGATTCATGGTCTAAAAATTACTTGATTTTTTTGGGGGCCAGGGGTGACGAACTCATGGTCAACTCATGGTGATGACCTCCACAACTTGGGTGACGAATCATATAGAATCCCCAAAAAACTATGGGCACATATACCCTCTGGTAATTTAACATAGCTATTGAAAATGGTCATTTAGAGTGGATTTTCCCATTAAAAATGGTGATTTTCTATAGTTATGTTAGTTTACCAGAGGGTAACCCTAGTGGAAGTGCACCCACACATCACTGTTAGGTTTGTTGGTTTCTGATTTTTCATTGGCTTCCATGAATCAAGTGGAATCAGTCATCCCAAAGCCGGGAACCCAACGGAGATCAGCGACATGTTTTTCTCGCTGGTAGTGAACCACCGTTTTATAGTACCTGATGTAGACATACTTGCTAAACATCACATGTTTCAGGGGGTCCCCAACGGTCTTGAACCGTTTTAGATGATGTTTAACCAATTTCACGACCATGTTTGGACATGTTCCACGCCACACCGTCGATTAAATCTTAAATGTGCACGTTCTATTCATTTTCAGTACACCCCAAAGATATATAAAATATAAGAGTTCCCCAACATAAATCCACATTTGGTGACGTTGAACCTCCCCCCTAAA